CTTCTCAAGTGGTTCAATGGTAAAGAATCCACCTGCCAAGCAGGAGACATGTGTTCAATCCCTTGATTGGGAAGATCCCCTAGAGAAGGAAATGGCTACCCACTCCAGTATTCTTGCCTGGAGAATTCCATGGACAGAGGAGCCTGGCGGGCTACAGTCCATGGGTTCGCAGAGAGTTGGACTGAGCACGCAAGCCATGCCATATATGCAGTCCTAGGTGAGCCCTGGTGGCCTCATTTGTCTGTTGCAAGTGTCCCCTCGAAACTACTCATGGGGCAGGAATGGCTCAGCTTCAGAGGAGAGTGGGCTACACCTCACACTCCCCTGCCCAGACTGGGCCTTTGTACATGCCAGCCCTCCTACCCTCTCCCACATCTCCACTTGGGAAGCTTTTTTTCAGAATTCAAGACCCTGTCAACAATTGTTCCTCTGTGGGACTTCCACACTGACCTCCCACAGCCTCTCCTTCTTGCAAATATTCAACAGATATTTACTGAGCATACACTGTTGTGATCCCGCTGACATTTGCTTACCATCTGGACTGTCACTTTCTGTGTAGATGTCTCCAGCTGTGAATTTTTTGAGATTCTAAGCACCTTAGTTTGTTCATCTAGGTATCCCCAGTTCCTGGAAAGGATTCAGGCGCATGGTACGCCCCTAATAGATTTGTTTTTATTTTTATTTATTTTTTATTTTATTTTATTTTTTTTAGATTTGTTTTTAAAAAAATAAATAAGCTGTGGTCCAGGAGCTAAGATTCTGTGCTCCCAGTGCAGGGGGCCTGGGTTGGATCGTTGGTTAGGGAACTAGATCCCACATGCCACAATGAATACCCAGAGCAAATAAATAAATATTTTTTAAAATAAAAATGAATAAAAAAATAAAAATAAAAATGAATAAACTTTATTATAAAAGAAAATGGTTTTCAAGAAATTCCTAACAGTCCTTAAGGCTGGAAGGTGGATTTAAGGTCACCTCATCCATCTCCTGGCATCCATCCATCCATCCCAGGCAAGTCATCGTGCAGAATCTACTTGACCGAGTTCACTGCAGGGGAGCTCACGGTCCACATGGCCACTTACTCCACTCGAGGATAGTGTTGATCATGGAGAAGTCCCCCTGCTGTGAAGCTGGGTCCTGCCCCTCTGTAGTTCCTTCCACTGATCCTTATTCTTCTTCTCCCTGGAGTGTCACAGAATGAGACCCTCCCTCTTGCCGCTGACAGCCCATCATATATTTGACAGTTATCACATCTGTCTTTTCTTTCCAGATACAGAAAAACCACTTACTAGCCATATGACCCTGAGCTTCACTTTCTTTTGAGCTTCAGTTTCCTTGTTTGTAAAATTGGGCTAATATCTATCTATATGGTTGTCAAAATTAAATGAGCTCATAAATGTAAAGTGCTTAAAATAGTGCTTATGTGTGTGTGTGCTCAGTCACTCAGTTGTGTCCAACTTTTTGTGACCTCATGGACTGTAGCCTGCCAGGCTTTTCTGTCCATGGGATTCTCCAGGCAAGAATACTGGAGTGGGTTGTCATGCCCTCCTGCAGGGGATCTTCCCAACCCAGCGATTGAACCCAGGTCTCCCGCATTGCAGGCGGATTCTTTACCATCTAAGCCACCAGGAGAGCCTAAGAATACTGGAGTGGGCAGCCTATCCCTTCTCCAGGGGAACTTCCTGACCCAGGAATCAAACTGGGGTCTCCCACATTGCAGGTGGATTCTTTACCAGCTTAGCTACCAGGGAAGCCCAGAATAGTGCTTGGTGTATATTAAATGCTCAATACTGATTCCAATTTTAGTTTGTATTACATTTTACATTCAACACTTAAAATTGAACAACTTATATTTGAGACAGTTAATTAAAATACATGATGACATACAAAAATTATATTATTAATATTTTATGAATATGTAATAAAATTACATTATATATTACCCACTCCTGATAAGGGCTTCCCTGGTGGCTCAGAGGGTAAAGCGTCTGTCTGCAATGAGGGAGACCCAGGTTTTATCCCTGGGTCGGGAAGATCCCCGGAGAAGGAAAAGGCAACCCACTCCGGTACTCTTGCCTAGAAAATCCCATGGATGGAGAAGCCTGGTAGGCTACAGTCCATGGGGTCGCAAAGAGTTGGACACGACTTACCGACTTCCTTTCACTTTCTTTCATTCCTGATAAAATTGGAAACCCCCTCAGGTAGGGTCCATTGTGAAGTTTAATGGGCAACTTGGTCTGTATTTTTAAAAAATATATTTATGTATTTATTTTTCGCTACACTGGGTCTTCGTTGCTGCAGGAGACCTTTCTCTAGTTGCAGTGAATAGGGGCTACTCTCTAGTTGCGGTGTGCAGGCTTCTCACTGTAGTAGCTTCTCTTGTTGCAGAGCTCAGTAGTCATGGCACACAGGCTTAGGTACCCCATGTTATATGGGATCTATCTGGACCAGGGATCGAACCTGTATGCCCTGCATTGCAAGGCAGATTCTTAACCACTGGGCCACTAGAAAAGCCCAGTCTCTATTTCTAATAAATGCTTGCTTAATTAATGAACAAATGTCTACTAGGCCTGAACTTAGCCCTGATCACTCATATATACTGCCTTGAGATTTTCCGGTCATTCTCTATGGTGTTCTTAAATTTAGGGTGACCAGCTGTCCTGGCTTTCCCAGGAATGAGGAAATATGGGAATTTTAATTTTTAAACTGAATCTTAGGGGGATTCCTGGGACTCAAGACTTTCAGTGCTAAAACCAGGATGAATTGGTCTCACCCTATTAATAATTCAGTGCCACCGGATTTGAGGATTGAGGGTTAGTGAAAACTACCTATCTCTGGATTCCACAACCAAGGTCACCACTACAGCAGTGCCACAGGTATTTGCAGTAGGGTCTCACAGAGGTGTTAGATCTTGACTGACAGAGCCTGCAGCTTTGCAAGAAACTCAATTTACCATTTCACACTGTAGTGATCGGGCCATATGTAATTTAAACTTACACATAATGGCTTAGTAAAACAGCATGTCGACTTAAATGCTCCTGTGACTTTTCTAGGGCAGTCCCTTACCTGCTTCAGATCCTCAAGAGGGATTGGAGAGTGAGCAAGTGGTGGTGGGTGGGGGTGGGCATTACTGGAGGGAGGATTGTATGTTAGATTTTAGTTGCTCAGTCCTGTCTGACTCTTTTGCAACCCCATGGGCTGTAGCCCACCGGGCTCCTCTGTCCATGGGATGTCCTGGGAAAGAAAGAATACTGGAGTGGGTTGCCATTTCCTTCTCTGGGGGATCTTCATGACCCAGGGATTGAACCCGAATCTCCTGCATTACAGACAGGTTCTTTACTGCTGAGCCACTGGGGAAGCCCTCTGTGTTGGATTTTAACTGACTGTCTAGGGCAGAGTGCCCATGTCCAGGGATTTCTAGAATACCTGTCTGGTGGAGACCACGAATAAGGCTTGCGAGACCGACTCACCAACTCCATGCAGCGGCTCTGCTCACCCGCCCATCCTTGAGCTCATCACCTCCTGGTTTCATCTCAACACAATTTTTGAAGTTACAGTCTCAAAGTTTCATTCTATTTTTATTTTTTAAGAAATGTATTTATTTATTTGGCTGTGCTGGGTCTTTCTTGCAGCACACGGGCTCTTAGTTGTGGCCCGCGGACTTCTCTCTAGTTGCAGTGCATGTGGGCTCATTTGCCCCAAGGCATGTGGGATCTTAATTCCCTGACCAGGGATTGAACTGGCTGCATCCTCTGCATTGGAAGGCAATTCTTCACCACTGGACCATGAGGGAGGTCCCTCACTCTGTTTTTAAAGTGCTTCCTACTGCTAGATCTCTGTCTCAGGCACATTTAAAGGTCCCCGTGGTCACATCACACTGAAGTGTTCCAGAAAAACTACCTTTAAATGGCTCATCTTTGAACTTCCCTGATGGTTCAGTTGTTAAGAACCCGCCTGCCAATATAGGGGACACAGGTTCAATCCCTGGTCTGGGAAAATTCCACATGCCGCAGAGCAACTAAACTCCTGTGTTGCAATGACTGAAGCCCTAGAGCCTGTGCTCTGCAACAGGAGAAGCCACCACAAGAAGCCCGCTCACCGAAACTAGAGTAGTCTCCGCTCACCGCAGCTAGAGAAAGCCCGCACACAGCAATGAAGACCCAGCACAGCCAAAAAATAAATGCTTAAATGAAATAAATTGTTCATTTTCTCTGATTTATTTAGTCCAGAAGTGGTTCCTGTTCCAGGCTTGAGCATTCTGCTCGCTCCAGCTCCTCTGAAACAGTCCTGTCGCTCATCAGGGACAGTCACTTCTGTGGCTGGCAGGCTCTCAGACCGCAGGGATTTTTCACCACCAGCACCACCTGCTGCCCTGATCCCAGAGGCCTCCCTCCCTTTCCACCTGGCCTCCTCGCTGCCCTCTGGTTGACACACGTTAGGGTTTGCTGCTGGCCAGGAACAGGGAGGGGTTGAGCTGGTGTGGGGTGATGGGTGATCTGGAAATAGCCTTGGGGGAGGGGCCCAGCTCTGAAGCTGGCATTGAGCTATTAGTCTGCACTGAGACACTCAGCAGTCAGAAAAAGGAGGCATCTGTGTTAAGTCCAGTTCCCCCTCCTGAGGAGGGTATTCGCCCCTCTGGGTCGGTAGCTAGTAATATCCACGTACAACTTTGACTCCAGATTCCCTAGGTATTACCTCCCTCCTGGGCTCCATACTCTTTAACTAGGCTCGCAAAGGAGGGTTCTGGGATGGTTGTGGCCTGGAGGGGGGCCAGCTGGCTCTTCACATACAGCAGCCTCACCGCATCTGCCAGCTCATGATCCCCTACTCAGCACCAGCCAGTCGTGCAGATGCCCCAAGAGATGAAAGGCAGGTCATCAGTGGCAAGGGCGGGAGCAACACAAAGTATCCAGGGTGCAGGGGTCAGAGGTAGAGCTGAGAAGGGAGCCGGTGCCCATCGGTTTTCCCTAAAGTCATCTTCTTCCCTCCTGGCTGAACAGGCAGCTGGCTGACAACGAGGCTGGCTCTCCTGAGTCCACCACCTACAGACCCTGGCAACCGAAAGTGACAGGCTCATGCTCTGACAGTGGTGCTGACAGCCTCCCTGCCACCCTCAGGCAGCCCAGGGCCTGGCTTGTGACCGCGCATTCTCAGCCCATCAGTCCTGTAAGTGTCCCCTTTGTTCATGAAGGTCTGCCCTATATGTTGCTCACTTTATCTACGTTGAGCTTTATGAAAGATACATTGGTTCATGGAAGGGAAAGTGTGTCCCCAGGCTAACAGGGAGCAAGAGGGAAAAAAGTCCTAGTTCACCCAAAGTGAAGGGGACTCTTCAGCCTTCATGGAGTGTTGGAGGGACTTTCTTGGGCTGGTGCTTCATCTGCTTGCTGAGCCCTGCCAGTACCATCCTTCCCATCCACAGGGCCTGGTTCTCTGGGTTTGGCCCCAGACATCCTAGTGGTGAGGCAAGAAGGCTGCCCTGACCGGGGTGATAGGGACGCTTGGTGGGTTTACCTGCTGCCTGCGGAGGCCAACACCCCCTCCCTCCCTGGACTCCACCTGCCCAATATGCAGAGGTGTTCAAGGTCCCCACATCCTGTGACAACTGTGGACCCATCCCACAGCTCCAAGACCCCAGAAATGGGACTCTTCTACACCAGCCCAGGCAGGTGTCACAAAAAGCAGGATGTGCAATGGTTAGGGACACCTATGCCAGGCAGTCAAACCAGGGTTTGACTCTAACTCTACTCTTCACCAGCTGGGTGACTTCGTAAATTAATCACTCAGCCTGTTTCCTTATTTACAAAATGGGGTTAATAACATTTACTACTTTATAGGGCTGTCCTGAAGATTAAACAAAATAATGCAAAGCACCTGGCACAGGGTCCACATACATGTAAAAGTTACTACAATCCTCACCTTTGGGGGGTATAAGGGCCTAAGAGGGGCCCTGACAATCCACCAATCTACGGACAACCTGCTTTGCCCTTTTGATTCTGAGGACTTAGGCTGTGTATTGTGTATTGACTGTGTATTGACTACTTCCCTGCAATCTGGTACCAGAAGTGGAAGGCTCTGGGACTTCCCTTGCTGTCCAGTGCTAAGACTCCATGCTCCCAATGCAGGGGACCTGGGTTCAATCCCTGGTCAGGGAATTAGATCCCACCTACCTCAACTAAGAGTTTGCATGCTGCAACTAAAGATCTGCAGCAAATTAATGCACAGCAAATTAATTAATTTTAAAAAGGCAACTCTGGCCTTTGAAACAACTGAATTTTGGCACCTTAGATATGGGTCCACTTTTGGCCCTGCTTATAGTCCAGGCTTTGGATTTGGTCTCCTGATTTGATCATCCTAGACTCCACCTGCCTGACCAAGGCTTTCCAGCACTGGCTTTCTGTCACTGCCCTGCCTGCAAGATTAAAGGCATTTTTGGGCTGACTCTACTGCCTGTCCAAGGCTTGGTGGTGGGGGTGGTGGCTGCAGGCCTGCTGCTGTGATGACCAGTGGGACATTCAGATGTGGGAATGTGAAACTGGCGAATGGTCACCATATGGGGAGGTGGAGGGTGGGAGGAACTGGGATACAGAGTGTCATGAGAGCAAGGCAGTGTTTGTGGGCCTGACTGCCCTGAAAAGGAATGTCTCGCCCATGTTCTCCAATACTAGGCAGGGGAAGGAAAAGCTGGGGGAGGCCATTTGCTTAGAGTTGAAAGTGTAGGAAGTAGAGGAAGACCCCGTCAGAATGATGGAGAAAGAACAGGCACCCCCCCACCCCTATTTCCCCAAGCCTTCAAAGAGTCCAGTGACTTGATTTATATCCAGTGCTTTATTAAACATGAACAGTCTCACAAGGAGATTACATGTGTCCTCAGGTCAACAGAGAGTGTGGGTAGATGTGTTGGTAAGAAAGAGGTACGAGGTCCCTGATCTGTGCTCTGAGGGGTGGTCAGTCGGGCAGGGCCTGGGCCAACCAGTAAGGCAGATGAGGGTCCCTGTCTGAAGGACTCACTGCTCCTGGGTGCCCCAGGAGATGTAGTCTGGTCTTGTGGCTGCATGGTACTCATCGATGAGCTGCTGCACAATCTCCCTGGATGTGTCCAGTTCATCAAAGTTCTCCTTGAAGATGTCCTCCTTGCGGAACTGCTCCAGGAAGGCCTCCCGCTTCCGCAGCTTGTCGTATTGGCGACAGGTCCGCTCGAAGAGCTTTGGGTGTACAAAAAGGCCTTAGGTTGGACAGGGGTCACGGGGAACTTCAGGGAACCATGTGGCCCAGAGAACCAGGAATCAAGGCTGGGCTATCCCCACAGTAAAAAAGCCAGAAGCAGGGGCAGCAGGGCTGTAAAGAGATGAGGCACCACCAGGAAGATGACTGTGGGGCTCACCGAGGAGATGCTGGTGTGGTTGGCCATCATGAGCCCACTGACCCTGTGGGCAGAAGGCAGGTAGGGCGACTTCCTAGACAGGGCCACCTGGATGCTGGCGGGGCCCCAGGGGATGAAGTTGGCCAACTTCCGTTCCCGGATCCTCTGCAAGCTCTTGTGGACCTGGGGTGGGCACAGGAATGGTGGTGGTAGCCTCTCCTCTTCCCCTGTGGGCTCCGGAGGTAGAATGAAGGGGCCTCACCTACCTGGGTGGGGTCCACCTCCCCCTGGATGATGTTGAGGATGGCGATGTAGCAGTGGTTGGTCTGGCGATCCCGACCTGTGGACACCATCACGTTCTTGGGCTGCAGCAGTCGCCTCATGACATCCAGGACTGTGGTCTTTCTCACGCTGGCCACCTGAGGGGAGAGGGGCCACAGGGCAGCCCGGTACTCAGGGCACAGTCAAGAGACGCATGGACAGAGAGCACGAGGTGATGCACAGCCCCATCAGACATGGGGCAGCCTGGTCTCTCTGGGGAATGTCCTTAGATTCAGGTCCTCACTGAGGGATCGCAGATCTCAGTCCCCCAGAGCTCAGCTAACTCATGTCCTTGTGCAGGAGCATCAGCAGAACCCATACAGCCCCTGCCCTGCAGGGCGCCACAGGCAGGGGGAGAGGAGAGCGAGTCAGCCAGGAAGCAGGGCCTCCGGGTGCAGCCGAGAGAAGGGAAAGGCTGGTCAGGGCCTGCTGGGCCCGAGGGCTGCTCTTACCGACTGGTCCGTGGTGAGGGGGGTGTAACCCGTCATGAGGAAGTGGAGCCGTGGCGTGGGAATGAGCGAGGCGATGAGGCCGATGAGGTCGTTGTTCATGTAGCCGGGGTAGCGCAGGGTGGTGGTGCTGGCTGACATGATGGTGGACACCTGGGGACAGGGTGCCGGGTCACGGGCCTTGTCCTGGGGGCCTCTCTTCCTTAGATGGTGCTTCGGGAAGGAGGGAGTCCAGGAGTGGGGGGCTCACCAGCTGGTTGATCTGGGAGAATGAGGGATTCTGGATGTGCAGGCGGTCTGTGGCAATCCGGTTCAGGGCCGTGTTGTCCAGCACCACCTGGGGGGACAGAAGAGGGTGACAGATTTAGGAGGACAGAAAGGACAGGAGCTCTGCCTGGTGCTTCATGGCTAGAAAGACCCATCCAGAAGACTTGAACAAGACTGGGTCACAGGAAGGTTCAAGAAGGGACTTTTAAAAATGCATGAAAAGGACGAAATAGACAGGGGGGTTGGGAGTGGAGTAAGCGAGACTCCAGGACTTACCACACAGTCGGCGTTCTGGGTCAGCCTCTTGAGTGTGAGCAGTGAGTTGTAGGGCTGGACCACCACATCGCTCATCTCGTCCTGGTTGGGAAACACTGAGTATGTCTGCACCAGCTTCTTGGGGTACCTGGGAGTGTTTGAGAAAGGATGGTCAAGGGCAACAGACTGAAGGCTTGGTAAACTTGGGGTTTCTAATGACTGTCAGGATGGGGAAAGTGGGGTTCGGGTCATAGGACAGCAGAGAAGGGAGACTTGACTTTTGGCAGCCTGTAACCCAAAAGGGGGCTAGGGCAGAGAAACATCTTAGGACCTAGGGTTCTAACTCCAAATCAGGCTTACTCCCTGAATCTTCATCAAAGATCAGGATTCTAGACTCTGATTCCAACCACTGGGAGTGTGCTTGGGTTCCTGGTTATTGTACCTTTCCTTCCTCAATACAGCAGGGAACGGAACGGCCCTTTCCTGCTCCAGTGAATCGGAAGGTTTTATCTGGAGGGCCTCCCAGTCACCTGGGAAACCAAATCCTCTCAGCCTTTCAAAACAGACTTACCTGTCGTTGAGCCGTTCTAAGAGGTAGGAGCCCAGGCCAGAGCCTGTTCCCCCAGCGATGGAGTGACACAGCACGAAGCCCTGCATGGGGAAGGGGCGGTCAGTGTCTAGGTTTCAAGGGGCAGGATTTCCAATTTTACCCATCTCATAACTTCTTGGACTCCTATCTTCCCAGGACCTCTCCTCCACTGCCCTCCCCCCACCCCCCATTCACAGATTAGGAGACTCTTCGTTGTTTCCAGCAGGGCCCTGTGGCTTCTGTCCAGTGCAAAGGTTACAGGGGGAGGGTCCCACACCTAACAGATGGCTTCTAAAGGGTGTTGTCGAGCCTTCCCCATGCTGGCCCCCCACCGGCATTCCTGAGATGTTCACCTCTAGGCTGTCGCTGCCATCCGCCTCCCGGTCTATGATGTCAAAAATGTCCTCATGGATCTTCTCTCCCTGTACAGATATGGAGGGGCATCAGAGTGGGACAGGACTGAGGGACAAGGACTTTGACCTCAGAATAGCCACCCTCCATTCTCCTTATAGTACCTAAAAGTCCTTTTTTGGAACACAGTGGTCCTGCTTTTTGTTTGTACTGAGAGGTAGTACAGCCTAGTGGTTATGAGCAGGCCCGCTACATCCAGACTGCCTGAATGCCTCTATTAGCTCTAGTTCTAGTTAGTCGGGTGACTCTGGGCATGCTACTTCATCTCTCTGTACCTCAGTTTTCTCCTCTGTATAATGAAGGTACTAATACAGGTCCACAGTCCCTTAACTAAAATTCTTGGGCATTATGTTTCAGAGTTCAGATATTTCAGATTCTAGGAGGGCTATGATGGTGTGTATAACACAAGAACACCAGTGGGGCGGGGGTCTGAGGGGCACTAACCAAATACATTAATATTTCTGCAGTGAAAGGAATGAGAAGTGGCAGTCAGTTGAACAGAAACTACAAACTAGCCTATCTTTATTGAGATTTGGTTTTGCTGCTAAATGAGTAGTTAAAAATCCTCTTTTGGTTTCAGAGTTTTTTGGATTCTGGAAACCTACAGACACTGTGGACCTGTAGTACCTACCTCTAGGATTGTTGGAAGGTCTGGGTAAGTTAATTTATGTAAAACACTAACTATGGCCTGGCACCCGGCATGAGCCAAGTGCAGTCTCTTATGACTATTACATAGTTCGCTCAGAATCTCCTCAGTCACATCTCTCTCTCTCTCTCTCTCCACTCATATATCCTCCATCTGGTTTATCTTCTCTTTAGGAAGTCATAGGGCCAGTCCCCACTTAGGAGTGGAGTTCTTCTGCCAGGGAACAGCAAATGACCTGGGAGAATCCGCTGGCCCAGTTGTTGCCAGCTCCTCCTCCATGCTCCGACAGGTAGATGTTCTCTGGGTTGTAGAGCTTGGCATAAGGGGAGTTGAGGATGGAGTGGATCACCCTGGGCTCCAGGTCCAGCAGCACTGCCCTTGGGATGTAGTGCTCATCGTCTGCCTGTAAAGGGGAGTTTACGAGGGGCCCAATCAGCTAGGGCCTGCCCAGTCCTCCAGTCCTCCCAACCCTGGTTCCTGCCTCCTTCCCTCTTCAAGCCAGCCTCCCTGGCTCCTCTGTCCAGTGGGCTTCCCAGTACCAAGCCACTGCCCTTCCCTTCAGAACCCCTGGGCCACTATCGGCCCTGGCTAAGTCGCTGGGGGCACCTGGTAGAAAAAGACGTCCTTGCGATCAGTGCCCTCGGTGGCGAACTCCTCCACGATGCCCTCGGGGCTGATACCATGCTCGGCGCACAGCTGTTTCCAGAACTCGAACCCAACTGACGGGAGGGACGCGGGCGGGAAGAAAGAGGATATCTGGGTCTGGGCAGGTTCCAACTAGGAGCTGGGGGACTCAATGCCTGGGTCCAGTGATAGGAAGTCAAGCTTCGGGAGTCTCCCGTGTCAGAGGAAAGTGCAGTATATCAGCGACTGGGCAGAGGAGGGCCCCTTGGGGTTGAGCAACGGGATACTGGGTCAGGCATGTCCCACCTCTCGGAGAACTACGATTCTGGGGGCAGATGGAGTTCAGGATCCCACAGCGAGATCCCATAGAACCTAAGAAACCCTGGCTAGTGGAGGGGCCGGAAGTTCGCTCACTCTGATTGCCGCACTGGCCCAACTGTAGGGTGATGATCTCCCTCGGCATCTCTCCTCTGGCAGCTGCCTTGCAGCCACTCTCTACGGCAAAGCTACCGCTCTCGCCACAGAAAAGCTGCCGCTCCCGCCAGCAAAGCCGCCGCTCGCTAGCCCGTCGCACTGCGCATACGCCAAAACTCGCCCCGCCCACAAACTTCCTCTGTTCCAATGAAAACTGAGTTCTGGCGAGGGCACTTCCTTACTCGTTCGGCTTCAGTCCTGCAGACTACGCGTGCGCAGCTCCTGATTGGGGCGCCGGGGACGTAATTTTGACGCAGTGTTCTTCGTTCTGGGTTGTACGCGACCGAGAGCCTTCGCGCAGGCGCGCTGTGGAGGGATGCGGCCTCCCTTGGTGTTTCGCGCATCTGCGCAGTTGGTATTATTGTGACTGTCGGGCCGTGGCCCCGGATGTTGTGGCTGCCGGGGGGAGATGGCGGAGGCAGAGGGGGTGGCCGAGGCCCCAGGCCCAGCCTCGGGTCAGATTTTCAAGGGTCGCAGCTGTATGTCTGGCTCCTGGGAGCGGGACCAGCAGGTTGAGGCGGCGCAGCGGGCCCTGGTGGAGGTGCTGGGGCCTTACGAGCCTCTGCTGAGCCGAGTGCAGGCAGCCCTGGTGTGGGAGCGGCCAGCCAGGAGCGCCCTGTGGTGCCTGGGGCTGAACGCGGCTTTCTGGTGAGAGAACTGGATCCTCGGAAACCCTCCGAGGCGCGAATTCGTCAGGTTTCTCTAAGGCTCTATCTCTCGCCTCCTTTGTTTCCTTCGCTGCACTGGCTCCTACCTGTACCTGCCTAATTTTGCCTCACCTCCTTCCACTCTTTCCCGCCTGAAGCTTTGGCACCGCAGTTCTTAGGGCCTTCCAGTTGTTTCCCCTGCTTTACGTGCACCCTCGCCCCGCACATACGGCAGGAGCTTCTAGTGACATCTTGAGCCGCTCACAGTGAGCGAAGGCGCCTCATTTTAACCAAGGGAAGCTGTGTCCCGTTAAGGCCATCACCTCCCTTCTCTTGTCTGCTCAACAGTCTCGAGATCTTAGTGCTTATTGTTGGGGTAGGTGAGTAAGGCGTGAGATCTTGAAAAGGGATCCATAGGTGTAATAAGGAAACAGGGTTAAACGACCTGAATTAGCATGTTAGATAGACATCCTTTTGCCCACTCAGGAAGTTTGCGAAGTCTGAGAGTCCGTGAGAGCCTCCATAACTGCAACTTGAAAGAAAATTACAAGCTTTTGAAGACAGTTATGAAATAGTGATTGTGGGATTTCACCCATTTCAAAGCCACTTAAGACGACTTCTCCGTGTTCCAAGGAATTAGGCATCCTTCGCCACTGTTTATATGCTAGGAAATTGAGGGTGCCTAAGTGTTTTTCTGAGCTGGGATAGTAGGGCTAAAAATATGCTTAAAGAATCTGTCTGTGTCATGCTGTGTGAAAATGGAACTGCTGCTTCCCTGAGTTGTCATCTCCTGAAGTGAACTTAGGTCTTCATAGGATCTGCCAAGCAGAGCTTGGATTTATTCATAACTAGGGAAGTAATACTGATCAGATTCCAAGGGAGCTCAAGTGGGGGGGGGGGGGCTTTTACAGCTGAATGAAAAATAAAGCAGTTCTGGATAAGCTTGAAACAAAACAAAATGTGTGTTTCCAAAACATAATTGTTTTTGCTAAAAATATCTTTCCTCTTGAAATTCTTGGTCTTAAAACCAAAATATTTGTTATTCTTTGAAAGAACGTTTTCAGTGAGCTGGAGCAAAAGAAATAATTCCAAGTTCATTGACAGGAAGACACTGCGGAGGTATATATTACATTAATCATCTCCTGGTTTGAAGGAGACTCGGGTTGGAGGTGTCATAGCAGTCTCTGGTATTTGTTGCTTCTAGAGTCTTGAGCAAACTTGATAAACTTTTCCTCCAGGATTCTTCATTTATTTTTGGTAGTGCTTCTTCCTTGATCCCCAGGTACCTACTCTCTCCCAGGCTCTCTGTCAGAAAACTTTTAACTGTAGCACCTCATTCTGGAGCATTTCCCCAAATGACCTTATCTTCTTTTCCTCTCACCTCCACATCCCAGACCGTAGACCCAGACCATTAAGTCAAAACTTCCTTGCCTACAATGGGATTGTATTATTAGGAAAAGAGCTGATCATGAATCAGTTTGTATTAAAGTGTGACTGACTGATGCATAAAAACATTGGCAGCATTTAAATGAATTCTGATAAAGCAAGGGTTTATTAATGCAAATAGATCAGTAGCATGTATGTTGTTATTTTTGAGGAGAGGACCTTCCACATGATCCTTGCCTGAGAAAGATCTTCTGGGTAGAATGTGGGGTGGAAGTCTGCTCATACATGTGTTTAAATGTTACAGTTACCTTTAATTTGCTGGTTCCCAACAGCATTTACTTAAGTTTACTAATATGCTATGTTTAGAATGTCACATCCCTTTCTCCTACTCCTGGGTCTCTCAATGCATTGATGCCAATCGGTCTTTATCTCTGGCATTTCCTCATAGCTTGCCTGCTGTGTATCCAGTAGGCATTTACTCTTGTTACATTCCCATCAGGCTCTAAGTAGGTGGGGGAGAGATGTAGCAAAATGAGGGTGTGACTCTTGAGAGTGAAAGAACAACTGGGTGTACTATTTATGGAGAGGACTCATACCTGTGAAGTTTACAAAATGACTGACTGATGGTGGTAAGGATCCAGAAGTGAGGGTTGTTTAGCATTGGAGTTCACAGGGTGGTTTGTTTTAGGAAATCAGCTTCCCTGGAAGGTGATTTGAGGTTCACAGTAAAAGTCAGACTACATTCCAGTAGCATCAAATTGAATATGGGTGTAGATATTTTGCTTAGGAATGTCAAAGAGTAATTGCTTTGTTCTCATTTCATTTAAAAAGGTATTTAGGAAATGCAGGTGGGTCTTCAGTGCAGGTCACAGAGAAATCAAATCTGAAGTATTTTATTTTTCAGTACTTGTTTTGAATAATGATACATCATTAACTGAGGTGTTTTATACATTTCGAGGTATTAGAAGACTGAATAGGAGTACAAACAAATCATCAGAATTCAGGTAGGTAGCTCTTAACTTTCAATGTTCTATCTTCTCAGTTGAGGTTTTCCTGTACCCGTGAATGTGCCCTCTTACATTTTAATAAAGAACATAAAAAAGAGGGATAGATGAGATGCCTCGCTACTATAGTATTTCAAGGCTTTCCTTCTTAATTTTCCAGTTCCAGAAAAATTACAGTGATTGTGATCTTTAGCCTATATTGCTCCTTGCTTCACTTATATGTATTTTTTCTAGTATAACAACAGGAACATCAGGCCTTCCTTATCAATATCAGGCCTGTATTTTCATTAGCCTCAACACCACCTGTAAATGAGTGATTTGGGGGAAGAATATCTGAGTCAACAAGAATCTATCCTGACAGGATAAGAAAAGAACAGGTTCTACTAACTTTTTGGTTGGACTCATTCCTAGGAGATAAGGGAAGGATAAAGGAGCCCATGAAAGGAGGCTCTCAACCCTTGCACTGCCTCCTATGAAATGCACATGATTCAAGGGGGTTGGGGACTAGGGGTGGGAGGGGCAGATGACTGCTGAGCTCCATTCCAGTTTTTCACATTCTGTGATTCTAGGTGGTTAGGAATATTGACTTAGAGCAGTCCACAAACTTTTTTTTCTTTTTGATAAGATCTCTGTTGGGATCTGTTTTTAGAGTCACTAGTCTGAGTTAACCATACTGTATTTTAGGGGGTATTTGGAGAAGGAAATGGCAACCCACTCCCGTGTTCTTGCCTGGAGAATCCCAGGGACGGCGGAGCCTGATGGGCTGCCATCTATGGGGTCACACAGAGTCGGACACGACTGACATGACTTAGCAGCAGCAGCAGGAAATTCTTGTTTTCGCAATGGGAGAAAGGTGATTCCCCTCCCTGAATACGCCCAAGTGAAAAAATGACCCAAGAAGTGATTATACAGCAACGCTGATTTAAAAGGTTAGAATTTGAGGCGGGGGCGGGGGGGAAACAGTAGTGAGAGATAGGAAATGGAAGGGAGGGCCTGTTAAGTAGAGGCATTTATTCTGTGAATAAGCAATATATACATCAAATTTCAGATGAAATCTATTGAGCAGGTGTTTCTGATGATAGTCTTTGGAGGGTTCTTCTTGCATTTGGTAGCAGGAAGGACTCCCAGAGATGCCTCGTTGTTGTCGCTAAGTCATGTCCAGCTCTTTGCTACCCCATGAACTGTAGCACGCCAGGCTTCCCAGTCCTTCACTGTCTCCCTGAGCAGGGAGGATTCCCAGAGATGTCTTGGCTTCCTTTTTTTTTTTTCCTTTTTGCCTCTGTTTTGCCAAAAGTTTTTATCTGTTCTGATTTTAAGGTTGGGTGCTTTCTGTCCATTAACATAAGGTGGGTCGTTTGCAGCTAGCTGGTTTCATTTCTGGTTTTGTACAGGCAGCAACCAGCACTACATGATATAGGTTGCGTTAATTTTTTTTTCTTTCTAATTTACCAGTGACTGGCTCATTAACCAGACAGCCGCAAGTGCGGAACAATAATGGGCTTTCTGTCCCTATAGGATGGGCTGCTTTGTTCTGAAGTGCCACTGAGAGAAGCTTACTCTGTAATAACAAAGAAACCCAGAAATAATATCTTCTTTGATTGAAAATAGACATGTGATCTTTCTTTTGTTTATGATTATAGCAGACTCTAATTTACCTATACTAATGATGAGGATCCATGCTATAGTTGACCTCAAAAAATTGTTTCATTTTGGAATTTCTCATGATTTTTCTGGACACCAGACTGTTTTTCTAATAAGTATTTTATTTAGACTGATAGTTAATTGAATTTTAGCCCCTAGTAAAGGGGGTGGATAATTTATAAAAGGACAAAAAAAAAAAACCAAACAATAATAAATCAATGGATATATACATTTTTACTCATTAATAATAAAAAATCTAATATAAGTGGCAGTGAGTTACTAATTTCTGCTTATTAGGTTTTTAAAAATGATAGTATTTAATTCTGGGCCAAATATGGAAAATCTGGTGTATGGTTAATGGGAATATGAATTTGACAACCTTTCTGGAAACTAATTTGACAACAGTATTGATACTTAAAAAGTTAATACCTTTTCAAGGGCTGGGAGAAATGGGGAGTGATTGCTAACCGGTATGGGGTTTTTTGGGGGGTGATTAAAATGTTCTAAATCAGATGATGATGATAGTTGCAACTCTGAGATACCAAAAAACACTGCATTTGACTGTTTAAAAGGTATATTTTATGGTATGCAAACTGTATCTCTGTAATGCTGTTAAAATAGTTAATGGTTTTTGACCTAGTAGTTCCATTTAAAGTAATCATAAGGAAGGTCAGATTTATGCTCAGTGATACAGAGTTCAGCTTTATTTTATTACATCAAAAATTGGAAGCATCTCAGTTCAATTAGGGAAAAGTTTAAAAGTAATTGTATCTGGGTAATTATCCTCAAGTTGTGCGTGCTTTGCTGGTGATAAAGGAAAACCTATCTATGGATTTTTAAATGAAGGAGAACGTTTTTAAACCAGGTATCCTTCCATGGAGTATTTTATATGTGAATATTTTTTTAACTGAAGGGAATAATCTCTCGCTATTTTGGGATATGTGTGTGGATAATGAGTTGTTTATTTTTT